TTTTTTTTTTTTTTTTTTTGTAGGGTCAACAACCTAGTAATTTTTACAAATTAACATATTTTCAGCAATTATTCAATATTTCATTGACTTTTAGTTACGTTTCAGAATGCTTTATGAAATTTGGGTTTCGTCTCTAGGTTTTTAAGTTTACAAACTTAAACAAAAAAATTACTTGGAACATTTATACACTCTTTTTTTTAATCTTTTAAAAATATTTGTGTACAAACAACTGTTATAAGCTTTTCAATTTTTGATTCATAAATGGACTTTTCACTTAACAATGTCAACAAACCTCAGGCTTCAAGCAATGCAGAATTTTAAACGATTTTTTAATATTATAAATTATTTAATTAAACTTTTTTTTAAAAAATGAAAACAATTCTTGTAAAAATTAATTATTCATCGAAAAAGATTTTCTTTTTCAGACAATAATGTCCTTAATAAATCTTATTTAATTAAATTAAAAGCAATTAAAAGCTTTTCTAATTAAATAATGTCATAGTTTTATTGCATTTTTTTTATTTTACAATTCAGAGCAGATTTTCGGTAAAAGGGGTAACTTTTTTTACAAAAACAATGATAATTTACATTCTCTAAGGAATCCTGTTTTTAACTAAAAAAATCCCCGCACTAAAAATTGAATTTATCGAAATTTCATGAAATTAAGTAAGTGGGAGGGTAACATGTGGAAAAAAATATGTTTTCCAAGATTTAAAAAAAAAAATTAAAAAATAATTTTATTCATTTCTGAATATGTTCTGAAAGTTTCGTTAAAATCTAACAATTAATTGATTTTTGCAAGAAATTCCAAATCAATTTGTTTTTCACCGAAAAAATACGCAAAAAACTAACCTTTGTCTTTGTACGAAAAAGGCTTTTTACGCTGACGTAAAAAAAAAAACAAGATTCTTAACCAAAATTTCGAACGTGCTAGAAAGGATTAAAAAAATTACAAAAAAAAAAATACTTTAGTCTTTCCTCTTAATAATAATATAAACATTTTGATGACAAAACTTTGTTTTTATTGAGTTTGGAGCTTTTTTTCATCATGCGATGCCGTTTCTTTCCACGAAAAAGTGGAGATACCTGCATTAAATCGTGAACCATATCGTATCGATTCATGTAACTGAGTATTTCCGAATGCTCTACAAGGATCTTATGAGGTATGCGGAGTATCACTGCGATGTCTTGTGTCGTGTGATTTGGGTTATTTTTAATCAGCGTTTCGAATTCGTCATCATCAACGACTACAGACCAACTTGTACATTCTCGATCTTCCATATGAAAATTTCCAGTTCTGAATCTAGCGAACCAGTTACGAATAATACTCTGGGCTATTACATCATCTCTATAAGCGACATATATCTTGTTGTTGATTGTACAGAGTTTTTTTTTTCTTTCTGGAAATAAAAAATCATCAAATAAAGAAAATAAATCTCATTTTCCTCCATTTTCTCATTTAATGTAAAAACATTTAAAATTCACATCCTGAAAAAGAATCATATAAAATTTTCACCTATCGCGATGACTTGGTGTTTTCTCAAGGAGGCTCCATTGCCTTGAAAGCCTATTGGAATTTAATCTCACACCAGACCTTAATTGAAACATATTTATACGATTTACCACTAAAGAGGGTGTAAAAATGGTCGGCTACTACTATATATATATATATATATATATATATATATATATATATATATTTCGAGATAGATAGATAGATAGATAGATAGATAGATAGATAGATAGATAGATAGATAATGTTAAAATTATAGTTTTAAGTTATGTGACAGTCTATTTATTTTATATATATATAAAAGTGGACATTGACATCAACACCCAGCGGTGACCTCAGTGACCACTTTTATATTTACATATACTCTATCCGTGATATTGAGCACTTTAACCCATAAATATAGTACACTATAAAACTACATTTTATCATATATATATATATATATATATATTATAGACTGTCACATAACTTAAAACTATAATCTTAACATTATATATATATATATATATATATATATATATAGTAACCGACCATTTTTACGGCAACTTTAGTGATGGATCGTATATATGTGTTCCAATTGAAGTCAAGGGTGGGTTTAAATTCCAGTAGGCGTTCAAGGCAATGGGGCCTTTTTGATAGAACACCAGTTATCGCGTTAGGTGTAAATTCAGTATCTGCTTGCTGATGATGCAAAGTTGACTGGGATAGCTTCAGATTTTAAATGGCGGAAGCTCTTTCAGCATTCATCAAAAATATGAATGGATCCTTTCCGGCATGGAAAGTTTTACTCAGAAAAAATACCAACAAAAACCGATTAGCAAACCCTGATTCTAGCTATAGTGTGCTGCTGCCTTGGCACACCGTAACTACTACTACAATATCTACCACAGAGGACGGTGCAATGTGACCTTTGCTGCATTTAGAACTGCCCGCAATTGTTGTAAGATAGTTCCAGAAAATGCAATGCGCAGTTATACACAAGGAGACCAAGTCGGAAGTCAAAGACTTGAATCCCATGGGTTCTGGAAAATCTCTAACAATATTCTCAATAGAGGCAAAGCGTCAGTGCTTAATACCATAAATGACCCTGAGGCTATCTCACCCTCGTCGCATAAGGCTAAACTCTAACTCCACATTAGACGGCGACTTTTCCCACTCTCACGAAGCACAGAATTTCCAGAGTTATCAAAAGACTTGATCCCAAGAAAGATACCGATTCAGATAAAATCCCGGTTGTTTAAGAACATTATCTCAGAGTTATCCTCAATTTTGGCAAAAAATTTTAACCGTTGCCTGAAGGAGAAATCCTTCTCAAGTCTATAGAAAGTGGAAAGTGTATACCTGTTTTTGATAAGGAGCTTGTATTGGTGACAAGGGGAGTTCGTAAGATATCTCTTTAAGGAGAAAGTGGGTTGGGGTCGGAGTTTATTTATGGACCTAACTTTTAGTTGTCTGTAAATGGATTTCAGTTAGTGGTATGGAATGCTACTCTATGCCAACAACGAATCTGTTTTACTAGAATTTGCAGTGAGTGGTATTTAGGTAATAAGGGCTTAATATTATTAATATGTGTTGAGGGAATTTAAATATAAAACATATTAAAATTAAGATAAATTAGATAATTCTGTAACATCGAAACATAAATTAGATAATTCTGTAACATCGAAACATCCAATGGAATAAATCATACTGTACAACACGCATACATATACCCACACACACATGTACGTTGACATACATCTACAAATATGTACCCATACACATATGTATACCTACACATACATATATATATATATATATATATATATATATATATATATATATACATATGTGCCATTGAAGCTCCTTATACAAGCTCCTTATCAAAAACAAGGTGTCCCTCTGAGTAGGACTGCTATCTAACATACATTCAAAGGCACATAAGCCCAGACGGACATTCCAAATGGCATTCAGGGCCGATGAAGATTGGCATTGTTATGCCGATCTGAAATAGACTATACTCCCATGAGGTAATTGGGGATTTTTGGTGTAAAAAATATATATGCTCTGTTATAATAAATACATTGAGCTCCCTGTAGATCAGTTTTAATAACTAGGATCCACCTGATACCAAGGGATCTATTACCTATGATATATATATATATATATATATATATATATATATATATATATATATATATATATATATATATATATATCAGTTTGGGTGTGTACGAAGAAAATACACAAAAGTAAACAACCTTCAAACACGGCTCTATAAATTAAAATAAATTTTATTATTGAGTATGCGTTTTCTTTCAAACGAATTACAAACCAACTTCACACAAAACTATTTTTGTTTGTCTTCTTCAATTGGATCCATTGCGTTAGTATGATAGCAGAAATAGAATGTGTCGCATAAGGAGATTAATCTGCATTTCCCAATATTTACTTGTAGAAGAAATATACATGAAAAAAACACCTTTAAAAACTTCCAATACCCCCATTATTTCATTCACAACGCTAAGAGAAATGAATATAATGACATTAACAACAACAACAATGACAATACAAACTTGTAGCGGACCCCCGAGCGCCCCCGTATCACAGTTGGGTGATGAGGTCACAAGAGGCCCGCTAACATTTTCGAAGACGTTAAATCTGACAAGGTGTAACAATATAGACGACAGAACGAGGATATAAACTAAATAAAAACAGGCATATTACCTGAACATCCACTATCCAAAATATCCAATCTTAACAATATCAAAATAATTTTACTTCTTTTTGAATCTTTTCAATACATGTACACATGTTTGTAGTTACAACTGATTTATCTAACTGTCATATCCATGTTTTCTTTATCTTTATTTTATTATTGTTTGGAATGCGGACATTTTGGATTTTTAATATAAAAAAACAAACTGGACGACTGATTTACCTTCATATATCGATGGGAGAACTTTAATCCTAAACACCTTTGTCGGAAAGAAAATATTATCTTAATTTATTGTCGCTTTACTGATTAAATGAAAACTTGATTTTGATTCTCAAAAGACGAAATGCCAGACCCGACCTACTTGATGATTCTTAAATTTATTTCTGTGTCTTCTTATTTATTTTCAATAAATAATTTTTATTTTATCCAGCGATTCCATAGAACAGTTCCTGGTATAAATTTATGCATTTTTATCAGTTATTATTTTGCCTTCTGACTATATTTTCCACTTGAACACAAAGTCATTTTATCAAGTAAAAGTTTAATGTGAGATGAGTTGTAAACATGCTAACTAACCATGAGTGCTCGATTTCTTGTCATTGAAACAAGGGAGATAATTAAGTCAATTAGAGTTATCTACCCTGAGTAATCATGGCTACTTGCACATGTTCAGAAGATAGAGATAGTTTAAGTCGACTCAATTCTCTTTTGTGTGAACTTCTACAAAAAGAAACAGAAAACAGCACATTTAAAAATTCACTAATACAGAGGAGGGTAAAAAATTTGCAGATTGGTGATGCATTTATACCCCGTGGCCGAATATCAAGCGTTCCGTCGAAGGTAAGTTTTTGAATCCTGTGTTGTTTAACTTGTGCTAAAAATTTTGGCTCGTAGTGCGAAGATGTGTTAATTTCAAAAAATGTACTTTACTAAGTACTTAAAAAAAAAAAAAAAGAAGAAGCGATATCTAAGGTTTAAAATGCATTTTAAAAAATTAAAAATTTATCTTGAAACTTTAATTTTAGTTTTAATTAAATTCCAAGCTAAAAACATTACTTTGGTGCATTTCAAAACGAATTTAAATTGATTGGGATTTTTTTTTTATTATTATCAGTAAAAATATAAATTCGTCCACATTATTGACAAATCGGTAGTGTAAAAACAATATAATTCTCATTTTTTTAAAAAAATCTTTCAAAAATAAAATATACTTTTGAAACATTATTTGACAAAAAGTTAGCTGATTTAAAGTTTAATTAATCAATCGGAATTGAAACAAATAAAATTTATTTAGTTTTAGTTTCAAATATCGCAGAAAAATATTTTTTTAAGACGGAATGAGTATTTTCTGATAAAGAGTGATACATGTACACATTCGTATTTACAAAATTCTTTTTAAAATACTGGGGCGTGTTGGCTCGTTGAATTGTAGTGAAATTTCCCAATTATGATTAGTAAATAGTTTTGATTTAATAGAAATATTACTTGACTGCTAACCTAAAAATGAATATAGAATTTTGAAAGATTTTAATTTAATGTTATATAAAAAGTAACCAGGGCCTCAAACACCTCATGCATCCTTTTTCTCATCATTATCCACTTAGCCCTAGCTCCTTAGGTTTTAGGGCAATTTCCAAAATTTAACAATGCCCTGAAATAAATATTTGCTGACATCCCTGAGATCTTGGAACATGTGATTACATTACTGAAAGATATTCTGGGAAACAAGTTCCAAGAATGTTTCCAGCAACGGCACCATTTTTTCACAAAGTGCTTAGATCCACAAAAAGGGGTGACAGCAGCCAGTATGGATCAGATAAGCAAACTTTGATTTCACTTGGCATTTCAAGAATTAATTTGACACCCCTCATAGATATGCTAAAAAGTTCTCTGCTAAAACCACTTCCCAAAATTTATTTAACAGACCAAATGAATATACAACAAACTATATTTTTTTTTTTCAAAGGTTTTCTTGATTGAACCAAGAACTTTTCAAAGTGGGATGCAGGTTTCAACCCTGCTGGGAGGCATATTTTATTTATTAAGACTCTCAAATCAATCACAGACTGTCTATTCAACATGTGTATCTACTAAACATAATGTTTAAATATGTATTAAAGTATAAAATAATGTAAAATAAACTAACATAGTTTCCCTGTGCCTTTTCTATAAATACATCCATGGTAATTATTCTGATGAACCTAGACTTTATGAATTTAAGTGCAGTACTAGATTGGCAGAAAGGTCTCATCATTTTACAATTGAAATGGCTAGATGTAACTGTAAGTTTTATGCTAACAGTTTCTTCTCTCACACTTGTCACCTGTGGAACTCTCTTCCACCTTGCTTCCCAGTTAACTTTGATCTTCAAAAATTTAAATGCAATGTTATCTTCTGCATTAATTCTTGTACTTTTACTGTCCCCTCTTCTTAATAGTGGTTTTTCTCATATTCTCTAACACTCAGTAACCCCTTGCATCCTAGTGACTTTATTGCCTTGCTTAGAGTGAAATGATTAAAATATACTTATATATATATATAATTTTTATGTTAATGCAGTTGTATCAGTAGTGGTCAAGTTAGCATAATTTCAGATCTACCTATGATAAAATTCAGGAATCTGAAAGCCAAAAGACATAAAATTTCTATTTTTATTTTTACCTACACTTTTTTTTGTAAAAGTTTCATATATTAACAAATACATGTAAGCAGTAATATTCATGTATGTATTTTTTCAACTCTTTAATTTTTATTAGTTTCAATAATCACAAACGAAAACCAACATATACCAGATATTTTTAAAAGCATGGCTGAATTGTTTTAACTATATAGAAAATATTTAATATGGCAATGAATTCTGAAAACCATGAAAAAGAATATTTGTATTTCACTAACATAAACTTAGATTACCAAAAATAAATAATTATATAATTTGAAATATTTTCTTATTTAACTTTTATATTCACTGTGATGAGAAATTTACAGAAAAGGTACAAATGTACAGAAATTTAATTATCCAGAAGGTGTAACACTGAAATGTGAAGGTAGATTGGAATAGTGAAAGATGCCTTTAATATCAGTCTTTATATACAGCAGTGAATGCTTAACAATTTTCCTTACAGATGAATAGGAAACTTGAAGTAATATGGTTATACAAGAACAAATAGGGCATCAAAGGTAGAACATACTGTTGAGGCCTCATATTTAAAAAAACAAAAAATGACAGGAGCGTTCATCACATAATGGTGTCTGGCTGCTCGCATCTGAGTATGCCTGTCTACTAGGGCGGCTAGCCAATCCCTGTTGCAGACACCTGCTGAGACACATTTGTGTTTGTTCAGCACCCACAGAGCTTACCTGTGGTTTATACTGCAACTATAAGCAGACCTTATTTATAGTTTATGGAAGAGAGCGCATTATCTGGCATGATCAACAGCCTGAAGAAGACCAGTATATTCAAGCCCTCAGTCATGATGACTTGAGACTTTGTGCAAGCACAGCCATCGACAGCTCCCAAATATTTCTGTCTCAGCCTATTTCACTCACAAGGCTTGGGTCAACTCATGGTATGGTTTTCAGGCACTTTCCAAATGTTTCCCCAGAGCTTTCTGAAGATTATGAGGATCACCTAAATAAATTAACCATCATATATATATATATATATATATATATATATATATATATATATATATATTGTGTGATATATGTACATATATGTATATTAACCACTAATATTATCTATCTATCTATCTATAAAGAAAGCAGTGCTATAAATGTATAAATCCATCTATTTTATTTCTATAGATTTGGGATGAAATTGTATCAGAGGTAGAAACCAGAACAAAAGAGTGGCCAATTCCTTTTACTTGTGCTGATCCGAGCAAGGACAGTGCTGCAGTCTTTCATTTAAATCGTGCCAAGGCATTTCAACACATCCTGCGCAGAGTCAAGAAGCATGGCAAGCAATATGGAGTTACCTCCCTTGCTAAGACACACAGAATTTTGCTCAACTGTGCTTACCTACATTTCCAAAACAGAGTCTATGATCTTCAACAAGTACGTGCTCTGCTTGTGTTATTACACATGGTTAATTTACTCTCTTGTAATGGGTAAGTTTCAAATATATTTCATTTTCACATTGATAACCTAAGGAATTGTTGTTTAAGTTGCACTTTTTAATTGAGCACTGGTGATCCATAAAGCTGTCACACCTCCCTGTTCAATTTATCGGTAATTTTTTGTGTCTGCATTTTTACCAAAATGTTGAAACTTGTTTCATTTTTATTTTCTTTTATGTAAGCCTATATTAAACAGATTAAGAGTATACTTGAAGCAACAGAAATGTAGTTCTACAGAAGGATACTGAGAATACTATGGACTGAACATATAAACAACAACAAAGTTTAAGAGAAAATGGAGAAAAAAAAGGACACTTATACCTTACCTCAGAAAGAGAGAGTTGAAATTTCTAGAACACATATTGTGTTAAGAGGGCTTGGAAAATTTAACACTCAAAGGGCACATTAAAGGCAAGAGCGACAGATGAAAATAGCACATAGCCTACCTAATTACCTAATGTGCTTGTGTAAATGTTTGGCAGAACAGGGTTTAGGAGAGATAGTAAAAAATAAAATTTATTAAGCGCTACAAAAGACAGGAAATTGTGTAGAGCCATGATCATCAATGTCCTGCAGGGACATGGCACATGGAAAAAGATATTTAACTGCAAAATATCCTGCTTTATCAAGTGACAGTTTAAACTAAAAATAGAGCATTACTGCTTTATCTGGCTGGAACTGTTCAATCTTCCCTTTCCAGTCTTGATAGGGTTTATGTGATCTTGTGGGGCAAGTTTGCAGCCTTTTCCTAGAGATGCAAATTTGCAAGCTTGTCGTTATTCTATAGCTATATCCATGTCAAATGTTCAAATAAGTTCCATTCTTTCATTCCACATCTTCAGACTTTTACAAAGATGCCATGCTGCTTCCATGGAGTTGAATCGCCCTCATTTCCTCCAAGTTCCAAATGTAAGAAAAAAAGTTCACTCACTGCTTTTCCCCAAGAACTGCCTTGTTTATGGAACACTCCTGTGTCGTTACTATCCTGAGCACGACTGTCTTAACCTCTTCAAGTCAGGGGTCAATCATTAGCTTTACTCCATACCCTGTTAGTCATTATTTCCTACCACCTCATGTCATTCTTATCACATACCTTATTCATCACTACCCTCTATTTTGAATGTCTCTCAAGCCTTGTATTAAGTGAATATTTGTATAAAACAAAACAAAAAAAAAAGGTTTTGACAGAAAGAGTGACACAGAGATCCAAAGGCATACCAGAGTAGCAAAGATGCCTTCCAGAAAATGAACAAAGTATTAAGAAATAGAAATATTTCATTAGGAGCAAAGTAAACAGTGTTGAACTGTTGTCATATCTATACTCTTGTATGGCAGTCATTGCTGGGCAATTTTCTTTGAGACTTGAAGCAACAGAAATGTGGTTCTACAGAAGGATGATGAGAATACCATAGACAGAACACATGAGCAACAAGGAAGTTCTAAAGAAAATGGGAACAAGAAACATACTTAAAATCATAAAAATTTGAATTTTCTGGACCACATCATAAAGAAAGATTGCTTGGAAAATTTAACACTCACATGTCATTGAAGGTAAGAGAGGCATAAGGGAAAACAACAAGTAACCTACCTAATGAATTAGTGTGAATGGATCACAGAGCAGGAATAAAGAAAAACGGTAAACAGTCAAACTTTGCTTAGAGTAGCAAAAGACAGAAAGTTGTGGAGAGCCACAATCATCCATGAACACAAAAATATATAAAGAAATTTATTAAATCAATTTTCAGTTACATATCAGTCTATCTTACTGATTCCTGTCAAGGTTGACAATGGGTATATCAGCTGCCAGGTATTTATAGAAATGTGATATTCCCTAATCAAGTTTCCTGTCAATTATTGTGGCATGCCAGCAATGGGACATTTTTTGTTATAGTGATGGGATAGTATTGAGACATGAATTTTTACCTTTTCCAAAGGTATTAGTGCTAAATGAATGGAAACTCTGTCAGCCAAAATTTGTATAAGATTTTTAAATTAAAATTGCAAAAAACTTGAACATATGAATGTGAATTTATAAATTTTCTTTGTTCTTGAGAATTGACAAGAATTGATAGAGAAAATTATTAATGATTAATTTTATATTACAAAAAAATTATTTATCCTGGAAAAAATGTAAGGTATGCAGGACCCTTCACCCCTGATGTGTGTGTGTGTGTGTGTGTGTGTGTGTGTGTATATATATATATATATATATATATATATATATATATATATATATATATATATATATATATATACACACACACACACTACTGGACTCTCAGCTTAGTTCTTAGAACCATCACCCAGACTACCCACTTGTGCAGAACCACTCACACTTTTTTTTTTTTTTTTTTTTTAGCTGGGGGAGAAAAGATGGCTTCATACGTTTCAGAGGGTATTATCATGGAAATGGAGATAATAAACTCAATTGGAATTCAAACTCGGCTCTGATTCCTCAATACGAGCTACAGTCCACTACTCCACCATGCCTCCATTCTATATATATATATATGTGTGTGTGTGTGTGTGGGCACTGAGGTCAACACTAAGCAGCAAGAATCTGTTTCATGCTTGAATGCCCTATCCCTGATATTGAACACTTTTACACATAAATATAGCATACCTTAAAACTATAATTTTATTATATATATATATATATATATATATTATTTATTTAAAATATGATTCAAATATACATAAGAAGTCCCATGTTTCAAAACAAAAAGCGAAAAAACTTCAATATAATTATTTAAATTATTTAAATTAAATTGAGTTAAAATAAGCTCTGTTCCATCTTCAAGCAAAATTTTTTTGGAATCAATTTCGCTTGAAGATGGAAGAGAGCTTATTTTAACTCAATTTAATTTAAATAATTATATTGAAGTTTTCGGCTCTTGTTTTGAAACATGGGACTTCTTATGTCGCGATTTGGAATCATATTTTTAAATAAATAATTATATTTATGCTCTACTTTTGTATCGAGCACTATTTTTAAAAAATAATAACTAAAATACTAAGGGACTTTGGATTATTTACCTAACCAGTTCCTTCCTATTTTCTATATATTTTCACATATATATATAAGTGAACTCTGAGGTCAACACTAAGCAGCAAGAATCTGTTTCAGGCTTGAATACCCTATCCCTGATATTGAATATTTTTACACATAAATATAGCATACCTTAAAACTATAATTTTTATTATATATATATATATATATATAGGGTTTGATACTAGCTATACTTTAGGCATCTTTTACGAGGTTTATTGAACCTACATCCTCATAGATGAGGTGAGAATTACTATATATTAAAAATGTTCATAATTTTTAACTTTATTGCATTGTTTTTTTTTTTCATTTTCTTGTTTTTGTGTCTTGTTTGTTAATTGTTTATTAAAGAAAAAAAAAAGTATTATTTTGTAGTAACTCTCCTATTTCATGTATTTTATTTTCAATCTTTTTTTTTTTCTAATTTTTTTTAAACAGTTATTCTGTTGTTGGCATCATTCCAGGCGAAGGTCATTGGAATGACGACATTCTGCAGTTCCTGGATATAGACTCTCTCAAAAATATTATTCACAATTTTTCAATTCCTGCTGAACCAGATGTAACTTCTTCTTGCATGACGAGGTTGCTACAAGCTGCAACAGATTCTACTCATCGTCACAGACAGCAACATTCAGAAACAAATAATCAAGATGTTCCCAAAACTGATTCTGAAAAGCCAAACAATTCTTTACTGCTGAATTTACGGACTTACCTTAATTCTAGTAGCATAAACTCTTGTGCTGTCAAAGGTTTTGATAAGAATCTTAATTTGGTTGAGGGTAAGTCGAAGAAATCCATAATGTTGTGATTAATAAATAGTCTATCTAAATATGACATGTCAAAGTAAAAGATATAATACATTTTTTCAAATTTTTTTCATATTAGTACTGATTAAGCTCTCTAGATCACAAATACCAGAAATACATTTTTATTTTCGGAATTTTAAGAAGGGGGTTTCAGTTTGCTATTTAAATTGATATGCTCCCACAAGGCAAAATAAATAAGTAAATTAATAATCTTTTTTAATTTTTTAAAATCAGTATCACCCTATGTAAGGCAATAAAGATACTAAGACACAAGGTATTACAGGGTGCGGAAGAATTAGGAATAGAAACATTAATAATGAACAGAAAAAGATAAGAGAGCAATCAGGAGGACAGTAGATAGTGATATGATGTTGGATTTAAATTTTTGCAGATTAAAGTTGGCTGGAAAACATGGAGCTGGAAGGGAGTTCCACAAGTGAGAAGTTATATCTAGCCAGCTCAACTGTAAATTGATAAGATCTCGACGCCAGTCTAGTACTGCGCTTAAAATAAAAAAAGTCTAGATACCAAAGCAAAGAGCTTATCCAAACAATTACCATGAAAGTATTTGTCGAAAAGACACAGAGGCAACATTATGGTGGTGGAGAAAATGACTGAAGCTGAGCCGACAGGTCAGGACAAATAATATTGCTGATTCTTCTTTGGCTTTTATCAAGGAGCTCAAGGTAAATAGCAGGGGCACCAGACCATACCTGGCAGCAATATTCTAAGCCTGGATGAATGGTAGCAGATATGTATGATAGAGAGAAAAATTGTCTTGCACAACACAGTGAACCAACTTCCTTAGCAGCTGATGTAGCAATGAATTCAATATAGTCTTTCCATTTCATGTCAGCTGAGAATGATTTCCCAAGAAGGTGCAATAAGTCACTTTCCTGGAGGTTAGCATCAGACATGCTAATAATAATAATAATAAAGAAGAATAAGAATATATACTTTAAATTCATATTTCACAGCTTTTTAAAATTTTGTATGTGAGCATTATTTTAACACAGCATAGGCAACAGATATGATAAACAGATATAACATAAATATTGACTTTTTTAAAATTTTAATTTGAAATTATCTGAAATTTTATAAGTGAGAATATGCTTTATTGCATGTATGATCATTGGCAAGTGGGTTTGTGCAGGGGGGGGATCATTTTACAAAGAATTTGCATAGCAAACTGAAACCCCCTACATCTTAAAATGTAGAAATTTAAAGTTAGCATGCTTATTCAATAGTGTTATGGAAAAAAATTATTCTTTCTTGGAGATAAATGTTTCTGTAGAAATGCTAAAAAAGGCTTGTATTTAAATTGTATGTTTATGTATTTATAATTTATTTCCAAGTAATGTTTGTATTTTTCTATTTATAAAGTACTTTTTATAATAAAGTTAATTTCTTTCATTTTGAAAACCTATCATCACAATTAGATTTTACAAACTTTTTTTTTTCTTGATACTCCAATAACAGATTAAGTTATTGAAATTTTATCAATTTTTTTAAGAAGATTAAACATATAGAAAAACATTTAAAAAAATCTGCTTTATTCTTTCTTTTCCATTTTTCTACCCTCCAGTTTGTCAGTCTGAGAAACCTACACCAATTTTAGAACAAGTGTCAGTCTTGGAACAATGTCTTCTTTCTTTAGAAAAGGTGAGAAACTGGTCAAAATATTTGATGTCTATATAAAATGATAGAACAGGATCTTGATCAGTAAACTAATGAGTAACAGCACTTCACCAGACAATAGAAAGATTTCCCTTGAGAAATTTCAGTAAACTTAATAACTAACAGTTACATCCGTTTTAGCAGGAAGAGAGATAAGCCTGCTATTGCCACTGTTTAGAAGACATCCATTAAGTTGAGAAGTGAGAGTTTAATATCTTCAGGAATTTGTTAGCCAAGGATGGTGAGTTCAATCTTGGTCGGACCACAAGAGTCAGCATAGTTAACATAAAACATACCTCCTTTCTGTAAAGACACTGAATAGCCTATAAAAACAGTGAAAGCAAAAACTAACTCAAAAAATGTTATTCATATTAAAAACTAGCAGTAGAGCCCGGCGTTGCCCGGAGATGTAACAGTAAGAGATAGATCAAGTATCAACCATCATAAAGACTGAAAAATAAAATTGACAAAGATTATTGTTTAAGATTGACGGACACGCATGTCTTAAAATTTTTTTTTTTTTTTTATACGAATTGGTCAAACTCAAACAAAAACATTGTTTTCAATCGTTATGATGAGTCTACCGATTGAATAGAATTTTATTATAAACAATTGTCTTGTAAATGGAATTTTTAAAGCATTCTGAATGTAAAAAGAAAAAAAAAAAGTGTGCAAGACAATAAGAAACACTACCTGCAAAAAAAAAAAAGTGAAGTTTTGTTGAAATCAGTTGAAAAATGTAGGAAATCCGATCCCATATATAAACGAACACACACACACACACAAACAACCTGGGTTTTATAATAAGTATAACTCGATATGAGTTGACCCCCTTTTATTCTCGTGATGCCTCTTAATCGTGTTTTCAAATTGATTTCGTGCAAAAACAATTGTATTTTTCCAATTTTTGGCCGCTGTTAGAACCACCGCAAGGTCATTTTATGTAATCCTGTGAAGTTTTGTTGAAATCGGTTGAAAAATGTAGGAAATCCAATCCAATATATAAACGTACAGACACACACACACACACACACACACACACAATCTGCGTTTTATAATAAGTAAGATTATCAATAAATGTAATAGACATTTTATTCATTTTAATAAGACATGTTTACAAGAACAATTTCTATCAAAATATGTACTGAATTTTATGCCTTGCTGGTTTTGGATAGATTATTTTCAAACTTAAAATAGCAGTTTCTACACCACATGCTGTATCTGTATATCTTAATTTCTAGGACAAAAGAGATTAAAAAAAAAAAAAAAAACTAAAATTGTTGATCGCTCTGATATTTCAGGAAGAAGCCTGCATTGACAGTGTCATGCACTTTATTCCCAGCTCTCAGTTTTATTACCAGCAACAATTACATCTCACTTGGAAGATGTTGTCTCCAGTACCACATTCTCTTCAGCAGGTCAGTCTTATTATGATATTTGCATGTGTTGACATCTGAAAATGACTTTGTTATTATCGGTTTCAAGATTGGAAATCTGCTTTTAGTAGATACTAAAACATTCCTTCATATTTAACTGCATACCTACCTGTACTGCACATCATATTTTATTAAAATGGTCTTTTTCTTCCCCAGTTTCATATAGAATTTGGCCCTGTTCAAAGACGGAAAGGAATGGACAAGAACTCCACAACTGTTGATGCGCAAACTTATTTAAGGTAACCTCTATCTGAATTGTATTCTCATCTTTATTAACAGAATTTTTTGTCAAAAAAAAAAAAAAAAAAAAAGACATTGCTGATTGTTTGTTTAAAATCTGTTAGTCAGAAAAAATAGAAATTAAATACACTAAAGTATTTTATGACTTTTATTTTGGACTGGTTATATATATATATATATAATGTGTGTGTGCGCACATATATATTATATATAATGATAAGATATAGGTTTAGGGCATGCTATGTTTATCGGGTAAAAGTGCTCAATATCTGAGATAGGGCATATGTAAATATAAGTAGTGTGGACAGAGATTAATGATATATATATATATATATATATATAGTGGGGAG